AAATCGCTGAGGAACAGCAACAGGAAAAGGTTCAAACAGCAGACGGGAAACCTCCCAAGGACGTGCCATCATCTGTTTCATCTGAAGAAAGTCTAATGAAATTCAATAAGATCGAAGCCCCAAGTGTGAGAGAAAGTAGAAGTGACGTAGAAGAATCTTGGTGACAATACGACGGAAAAGGAAAGAGCAATGAATCAGATTCGTCTTCAAGTGATTCGCAGGAATCGATTCGTAGTCAAAGTAAATTAACGTCATCTAAGAGTCACAGTGTGTCATTCTTTAATAGCAAGTCTGAGTCGTCTGAAGGGGTGGTGTTTAAATGAAATCTTGAAGCTCTAGTTCTTCAGTTTGGAGATCTGTTAGATACAGAGGTAAGGTGGTCTTCAAAAAAAATAATAATAGTAATCACAAAAATTGGATTATTGTCGTGGCGCTTTTCTTTCAAGTAACTGCTAAATAAGATAGAAGTCTGATGCGGCTTTATTTCTGCAACCTTGTCGTTCCGTCCGATAAGGGTAACTACCCGTCGCTTTAAGCGTGAAATTGGAGGGGCTTTGTAAATCAAGAAATGTGGAGGTGGTTTAAGACATGAGTGGCTAAGAATAATCCTTGGTTTTCCTGATAAACTACTAGAAATGTTTTTGTCGAGCCTCCACGTCAAACGCAGGTATGAAAGCATATTTCTGTTAACATGCACCTGCAGTCTACTCCGCCTTGAATTCTCATTAGTTAACTAAAAAAGAAAAAAGAAAAAACAGGGGGCTCAGTGAAATTTAAATATGTCCATTACAGGATACGTTTTGGTAATTGTTATAAGTACAGAATACATTAGCTGAGGCTCGTGATCACAACGTTACGGGATGCTTCGGGAATAAACATACACCGGCCTTATTTATTATTATTTTTTCTTTTTTCAAGTCAGAAGATTCTGATGAAAGGGTGGAATGGCAAGAGACTGGAAGTGAGTCCAGTGCCGAACACTTAGAACTGCAGTAGTTGTACATCCAGATGGAATACTGTGAGATGAGCACCTTAAGGAACCTTATTGAGGAGGGCTTGCATAAAGATAAGGAGCAAATTTGGAGGCTTTTTAGAGAGATCGTTGAGGGTCTGGTACACATTCTCACTCAGGTGATGCGCAAGTACTGCGTGGTGTAATGTTTTTTTTCTCTTTGCTGCACAGGGCATTATTCACCGAGATCTTAAGCCCGTAAACTTGTTCCTAGATTCTCTCGGCCGCATCAAAATAGGCGACATTGGCCTCGCAACCACGCACGGCACGACACGCGGAAGCATGGGTACTGAGGGCACAGATTCAATTGCTAATGGCCAGCCTCTCAAAATGAACTCAAGCACTAAAGAGAGTATGACAGGCAAAGTTGGTACGACGCTTTACGTCGCTCCAGAGTTGGGAAAACGGTCTGGCGGCCGAATGAATTACAGTCAAAAGGTTGACTTGTATAGTTTGGGGATTATCTTCTTTGAGATGTGTTACAAGCCTTTAACAACCTCTATGGAAAGGGTTAAAGTTTTGGGAAATCAACGAACGGTAAGTGCATGTTTACCCGCGCTACAATCATATAAAAACCGAAGAAAGTGGTAATTTTTATCGTCCACAAGGAGAGATGAAAAGGGCGTTCATATGATCTACTTTCAAATGTTTCAGCGTGAATAGGCTTTTCATCGTGTTTTAAATTCACTTTTTTGAGCCAAAATTAAAAAGGAAGTAAGTATGCTGAACAATATTCCGAGTTTATAATCAAGCCTAAGAGGCGACAAAGTCGTAGGTCTTTTCATTCTCGAGCATTAATTTCGCCTACCTCACAAGTACTACTTCAAGGCCAGTATGTCCCGCCTAAGATTGAAGATAGTCAGTTGGACGAAGTGCTCAAACACACACTCGCGTCTACGAACTCTACTCGCTACCAGCGTATGATGAAGGCCATGTTCTCGCAGAACGTTTCTTCGGTTCAGGACACAACTTACGATGTTGACGTTAACACGGGACAGGTTTCACCACATGTTTATATTTGTGCAGCAGATGGTTAAGAACGTCATTTCTTGCCCCTCGCACACAACGTTATGGACCACAGTGGCACGCTTGTCACGCTCCCTTTCGATCTCAGGATACCGTTTGCGCGTTATATCGCGCGCAATGGGGTCGTAAACATTAAAAGGTTTGACATCGCATGCGTGTATCGTGACAAGAAGATTCTGGGCGCCCACCCCAAGGAACTTTATGAGTGTGTATTAGATATCGTCACAAGCTCGCCGGAAGACCTTGTGCCCGACGCCGAGGTTTTATTGGCGGTATTTGAGATAATAAACGAGTTTCCTTCCCTTTGTTTACCGTAATTATTATATTAAGATGAATCATGCACGTCTTTTGACGTGTTACCTGACTTCTGCTGGTATATCGGATGAGCGACAGGCCGATTTGATAGCAATTCTGAAGGAAATTCGCAGCGAGAGGAACCACTTTGTTGAGAGCTTGCAGTTAAGCGATCACGCAGCGACGGCGCTTTGCGAGTTCCTCAACTTCGATGGCCCTGTGAATAAATTATGAGAGCATCTGGTTGGTACCATGAGGCGAAATAATAATTATAATAACGAAATTTATCAACTGAGTTGAATAATGAAGAGTTTCTAAAGCTGATGAAACTCTTAAAGACTCTTCGCGGTGTGAATGTTGCCATCATTAATCATACTGACGAGCTACACACGCAATCTTTTAACGAGAGATCTATATTTACTTCACAAAGATAACTTAAATAGTACACAAAAATTAGTATAATTTTACCCCATTCATACCAAAGCTTAAATATCTTTTAAAGTTGTTTTGTTGAACACGGTTTATTTCTTTTTTCTTCATAGAAACTACTTGACCTAAATTTTTTAAAATTAAAATGTAGCACATTGGAAATGCAAGTTAGCAAGTACTTGACTTGATACCACACATTTGATGAAAACATTCAATCCTTCATTTGAACTGGTAGATACCTGTTCTATGCCACAACCTGTAAATGGAAAGACAATCGAACAAGTAGAAAGCAAGTTAAGACTTACTTCATCAAGAGACTTTGCTTCAGGAACTCTATATGCAAGTCAGGTTGCATTTAATTTGTCCAACTGTCAACAAAAATAATAAGGGAGACATGGCTGAGAATCATCTCTTACATAAATGGAGTCACTTCAAAAGAAAGAAATAAAATTATTTTGCCAATGATGTTTTTAAAAAACAATATGCCTGAATGAAACGTGTTTTACTCATACACACTTCCACACTACCAAGTTAAGATAAATGTAAGTTAAGGTAAAGACTTATTTGCATATTTGCAGATTTCTGCATTTCCACACTTCCACATTGCCAAGTTAAGATAAATGTAAGGTTAAGACTAGTTTGCATATTTGCATATTTCCACACCCCTACACCACTAAGTTTAGAGACACATTTTCACATTTCAAGGTTACTCTAAAGTGATTAATTTTATATGCAGCACATTCCATTGTGACGAAGTTTTCTGTGCTCTTCTACCTCAAGTGAAAGCCAAGAAAGGGGATGACTCCACTCCCGAAAACGCATTTAAAAAAATGGAAAATTTTAATTGAAAGATTATTCTTAGTTTTATTTGACTGGTTCCACATAAGTGACTGTTCAATACAGGTGGAGGAAAATCCACATATGCCTTTTGATTTCGGTAAAGGGTGACCACGACCGCTTAATTGAGGTGAAATTTTCAGTAATTACAGTAAGTATAGCACCAATTCATTTTATTTTTCCTTAGAAGAATTTAGAGAATAGAGACAATAGACCACAAATACCTGTGTGAGTTCATAAAAATTAGGTTTTTTCTTTCTCTTTTGGTGAAGTAATGCGACATTTTCGCCCGTTTAAAAATATATAATGCTCTTTTTTTGTAACAAAATGAAAACACTAGGTACACAGAGTGCCCCATCTTAACCCGCCCAGCCGAAAAAAGAATATAAAAATATATAATGCTCTTTTTTTGTAACAAAATGAAAACACTAGGTACACAGAGTGCCCCATCTTAACCCGCCCAGCCGAAAAAAGAACTCTTGCATGCTACACTGATCTGATGGATTTGTAATCACGTTCATTGCAAGCTCGAACGACTAAGAGAAAGTCACGTGCCTGTGATATCCATCATTTCAGGAGAAGTTGCTCGATCGTATTAGCCGCAAACATAACTCGAAGACACTTTTTTGTCTTGCAGTCTCGTCACAAATTAGTAAGAGCTGCGCAGGCTACTAGAAAAAAAAATTGAAAACATTTGCCTAGATTTTCCATCTTAGTGTTGCGCTATGGATCTAACGACTTCATTTGTAAGGAGGAGGAGGGTTGGGGGGAAGGGTATCTTTTGTGCTTATCTTAATTTTACGTTGTTTTCTTAGCTATCTGATCATCCATCCAGCTTTGACTTGTACAAGTAGATATATAAAGTGTCCTGTGGTTTGTCTACAATACAGGCGTCCTATTAGGATGACATAATGTTACAAGCTCGCCACCGTCCATCCGGCCGGCTAAGTTTGATGTAGAGTTAGAGTGGACGGTGAGGGGAGGTAGTGGGGAACGTCTTTATTTCTATTGCCCCACCCATTACTCCCTTTTCTCCTTTCTTCTGACCGTAGTTAACCCCTCCCCCCTTCTCCTTCTTTGGTGCACATTTCGTTCTCTCTATATCCCTCCCCTACTGTAAAAATCAAAGATGAGAGCACTTGCACGCCAAAATTACGCAATCTTGTGATAGAAAGTGAACACGCAGATGGCTCACACCTCAGATGGCTCCGCTGAAGTATGCTCAGTAGATATCAAATGGTCCTGCGCAATATCATTTTCCGTTTCAATTTCAGCGTAATGGGAAAAGCGTGATCCAACTTTGAGTTCAAGCCCCGCGTGATTTGCGCTCCCACGACCTTATTCAGTGGTCACTCTTTGTTAGTCATGCGCAAAAGAGCTGTTGATTCAAGAGCTTCTTAGGTAATGAACAATGCGCCTGGTCTCGGACTGTTTCTGTGTTTTGGTGACATTTTTTAACGCAGTCGCCTAAAATCAAGATAGTGTTCGTGGAGAAAAGATCATTACAGCCAAGGTGAGTGTACATTATCGACAATTTCAACTTCCCACATGTGATTTGTTTTGATCCGATTTGAACTTGCATACATTAAGGTAAAGTCTCGGTTACTTAAATGTTAGGATATCAAATCAACCAATTTTGTATATACTTGCTTCATAAGTGCTCCAGTTTTTTTAACATTTGCTTGACGGCATCAATTCATGAAACAGTCGTTTAGCGGGAGCTGACCATCACAAATCTCTTCATAATGGCTTTACTCAGACGTATCTTGAAAGGGGTAATGAACAGGGCAAGGCAGATGAATCAAAACCGAGCTAAATTGACCTAAATCAGCCCAAAAAAATTCACATGATGCAAAAAAAAAACCACTTGAGCAGGGAATATTTTGTCCTTATTCAAAAATAGTCGAGAACTTTTTAGATTGAGAGCGTGACTATTTATTGCAAGAATATTCCTATATTTCACTCATGCGCAACGTGAAAAAATTTGCATTTTCACAGTGCTCACTGTGTAAAATTGGACCTGTGGTTGAATGTGAAGGTAGAAAACACATTTTCCTTTAACGTTATCTTCTCTATGCATGAAAACGAGATCTCCAACAGTGTTGAGGTGTTTTCAGCTTCTTAATAGGTTCCTCGGTCTGCCGATCCATAGTTTAAGTAACACCCGCTTTAAGACACTAGCCACGGTTTAACAAAAAAATTTGCATAAATCTGAACTAAACTTTTAAAGGTCATCATGTATGTAAAAGCTCTAAGGCCTCGAAAGTTCAGTTTTCAATTCAGTTCTAAGATTTATTCTCATTTAAAGAGCGCCAGAATAATTTACTTCATGCTAAACTTTGATTAGCAGGCGTAAGAGTAAGTGAAATGTTGTTTATGACTATTGCTGTATTTGAACATGTCAATTATCTTATACACAACAATGTTTGGTCCAAACTACTTAAAACACTTAACTCGCGTTCGTGACCAAGACAGAATATCTCCATACAATATAAAAACAGTATCGAACAGAAAGAGATAAGAATAGAGGAAAGTGTCAATTATGGGATTATTTGTCACATAAGTTGATCCAATATGGTAAACTGTAACGAGGATTATCAATGAGATCTTTAATGGGGTGAAGGTTTAAAGTGTATGAGGATGGAGTAAAAGTGTTGGGTGACTGGTGTCAAAATGAGCGTATGAAAATGACTTATATAGTCATCAATAACATATTTTTAACACCTTTCCTTTCCCTTTTTTCTTTTTTTATTACAAGCAACAGTTAATCCATCTTAATCCATCTTCCCCCTCACCTGTTGCGTTGGAGTCTATTTACCAACTTTCAAAGGGGAAGACAGTGGTAGCCAGATGAATAAAATGGTTCAAAAGTGCCACTTTTCAGGCATATATCCCAGAAGTTTTGTCCAAGATGCAAATATGTTTAAAACGATTCCTACTTACAGCAAATTGGAAAGAAATAAGGGCTGTGTTTATTCATGGTGATGGAATAAAATAATAATACTACGTCATTTGATTACTTGATCAAAGTTTTTCTTCAAAATTGTGTTTTCTATTAGAACCATCTGAAATAAATGGCTTCCTCCGTAGAAGAAAGACTAGAGAAAAACCTGGAATGTGGAATTTGCTTGGAATCATTCCAGGAGCCAAAAGTGCTGCCCTGTCAGCACACCTATTGTAAAAAGTGCCTTGAACGAATTATCTTTAGGGCTTCTGGAGGGCGTGTGCAGAAAATCACGTGTCCTGAGTGCCGAGTAGAAACGAAGGTGAGATGTGTTAACATATATTTTCAAACATTTTCCTACAATACTGTCCCTTTTTGGACAATAAAGGACAAATTGAATCGTTAGGTAAAACACCATTGTAGCGAACGCACCGGTAGATTGTCAAATTTCTGAAATACGTGGTGACTCATATAACGGTAATTTTACAATGATGACAAACAAGGTAAATGAAAATCGAACGAAGAAAGAAATGTTAGGACATACCTAAAAGTTGGGATACTAATATGAAACGACTGAGACACTCCAGGGAAAAATCTGGCTATTTTATTTTGGCGCGATAACTTGCTTAAAGATGCCAATAGCCCACAGAGACTGGAGACTAGGAAATCGCTAAAAGACGTTGGAACAACCATTATGGCCCTTTTTAGTTAGAATAGCTTGTTCTAGACGTTCAGTTAGATAAATGAAGCGCGATAGTAGCGGCGGGATGAAAAACGAGGGAGGCGTATGCGACCCAATCCAAACCAAATTTTTTTTCACTTCTCCTCTCCTATCGCTCTGTGTGGTATTTCGCTCCGTTTTACTAACTGGACTCCTGGAACAGGTTAGAGACTAAGCCACTAAGCCTCGCTGCCAAATTACGGACTAGAAAATTTTAATGAGAAAGCAATAATTATGTTGTGTAAATGAGGCTGAGGGGGGCGTGGGGTAACTTTTCAACATCGTCATCGTAAGGGCTATGGCAATTATGCACTTACTGTAAAAATCATGTTTACTTTGACACATACATGGTAGAGTATTTTGGGAGAAAATTCAGACCTTTAGAATAACAATGTTGCATATGAGAAAAAGAGATAATAAACTAAGAGAACTTATCTCCGTGACCCATGACATTTTTTTAAAGTATATTTTAAATTCCGCGTCACGCTTTGAAGTTGTTCGGATACTCAAGTTTCAAGTTACTTTTTGAAAATAGCAACCGTTCATCATCGAAACAAACCATAATTGTTTGCCTCCACCATTAGAACACTTACCTCTATTGATTTATAGCCACACAGACGTATGAATCAATCGCATCTTGATTAGAATGACTTCCCTTCTCTGATCTTTAATTTAAACTGGTTTGGTCGAGAAGAAGTTTTGCACGTGACATAATAAGCTTCAATTAAGAATCCTGTACAGATACCATCAGGTCTGAGATGCAATGATCCATGTATACAATCTAAGCTTGTTCATTTTTCTTTAATTTTTTTTCTTCATTTTTATCTTTTAGCTTCAACGAGGTGGCGTCGCAAGTCTTCCTTCCAGTTTTCTAATCAAGAGGCTCTTGGAAGTTAACAGTGGTGCCCAACTCGATACGTCCGCAAATTGTGAGAAACACCCAGAAGAACTAGTAGATCTTTATTGCGATTGTGGTGAACCGATATGCAGAGCATGCGCAGTGATAGATCATCGTCTCCACTCGAATCAACCTTTGAGTAAGGTATTTGCTCGTGAGAAAAAAATGATAGCGACACTTTTAGAAAAAGCAAAACCACAAATGTCTGCTCTAAAGGCAGAAATTTCGTCTAGAGAGGGTATCGAAGAAGCATTGCAACAAAACTGTTCAGATATTGACGAACAAATTGAAAACTTCGTCAATGCTAAAATTGCTCAATGGGAGAGTAAAAGGGAAAGTTTGAAGAAAGATCTGAGAGAAATGTCCGCATCAAAGGTTGATAGCCTGAAACGACGAAGGGAAGCACTCCTTTTGCTAGTGAGTAGAGTAGAGAATGTCAAAGACATTATCAAGAAATGTGGCCGTAGTTGTGAAAAGAAAGTGGAATTCTTGCGTAAGAAAAGTCAGTTCGATGAGCACCTAAAAGAATTAAGTGCAACTTCTCAACATATTCAGCCTTGTAATAAAGTTACCATTCAGCTTGAAGAAATCCACCCCCTGAAGATATATCCCAACGGACACGACGTCTCTAATCAGGCAAAAATTCGACTTCTTGAGTTTGACAAACAAGGAAATCGTGTTGGACCATCCGCTAATTCAGATTTTATTGACTTATTTAATAACTGGATAATGCTTTCTTGTTTTTTATTTCTTATGGGCCTAATCTTCTTTTTCAAGTGTCTTGATTTGGGTAAATGAAAATGACCGAGAAATGCACGAATTTGCAGCATGAGGATCCTTTTTTTTATTACTACTAAACATGTTTGGACTCCAGAATCTCAATTAACGTCGAAGGAGATAAGAAATATGCTACACTTACCGGTGTCAGCGTGTACATAAAGACGAACATGCCAACTTACAAAAAAGACTAGATGCATCAGGACGATTCACAGGTAGGAACTGAAACAAATGTATTCACCAATCAATGTGGAACTTTCATCGAAGCCCGAGCCATGTTAAACAACTGCAAAAATCCTACCATGCGAACTCATCTTAAGATGCAAACATTTCAAAAGCAAGTAACCGAAGACGTCTTTTGGAACTTAGAAAACGGTTCTGTGATCTTTATATGTCACACCAACTTTAGGCGACAAATTTGAATAATGAACCGAGAAAACGCAAACCTGATGTAAGAAATCTAAAAACTTAGGTAAAAAGTGTAGAAAATCGTAATCATGAAGTAAGATTTTCCACAAGGTTGTGACGTTAATCATGTTAATGGACCTCTCTAGCCTGAAAGTTTTTTTTCCCGATGGAAGTATGGAGGAAAGTCTTCGTATGTCGTTTATGAATTATGCGTGCATATACACTTGGTAGGACGATATTTGAAGGAAAGAGTTCTCTAGAGTATTAAGCTAAAGAGGTCTATTGGATATCGATCTGTCGAGGCAGAATTATCAATTTATTACATTGATTATACAGTCTCACAAAATGAACACGTGATCATGCAAGCTCGTGTAAGCGAGGGAGGGATGGGTAAGGACTCCTCCCCCTCTCTTTTAACATTTTTCAATGTTTTGATAGTTTTTAATCATAAATGAAGAGCAGAAGCTTTATACTAGAACCACGATCAGTGGAAGGAAAAAGTCTTGGGACGTGAAAATTTTTTCTTTACTAACTGTATTGTTGGTTGTTACCAGGATAATTTTTGCCCATCGTTGTAGAATTAATTGAACTTCTTATCCATTGCATCACGCAATTGAAGTAAATGAATTGATTAGTTTACCTATACATTCATGTTTTCTGATTTTCGTGAAAGTTTTCTTTATTTTTATTTCAATTATAAAAGCATGGACTATCTCCCGAATTGAACGGTATGACTATATTTACGTTTCTGTTCATCGAACTTCATAAACCATGCAAAAGGCATCTTAAGTATATGGTCAAGTTATGACCTTGCTCTCCGAACGCCCAAGTGTAAGCACATTCAGGGCATCGAAAGGAAATTAGTACCGGGGTAGAATGAGGAGAAAATGAACTAGCTTTTTTTATTCGTTTGTACGTGTTTGATTTGGGTAATTTCATGATAAGAAAGATATAACTCCGCGATGTATCATGGTACTAATTTTTATCAGTTTTATATGATGTTTATGTACTGGCTTTTATTGTAGCTGGATTTTCTCCATGCCAAGAATGAACTATAAAGCAGTTTAATCAGTGATGGAGAATAGTGATGTTAGAGGATCTTAAACCTTTAACTCACACGAGTGACCAAGACAGAATTTCTCCTTACAATATCAATACAATATCAATCAGATAAGTGATGGGAATAAAGAAAAATATCAATTTGGGGATAATTAGTTGATGCAATACTGAATTCTCTAAACTAACGTTATAAGAATTGTACGGTTGACAGCAAGGAGAATTATAATATTAATCTGGGAATTAAAGGGTTAATGGGTTTAACCGATAGCCAGGAACAGACAAAAATTGACAAATTTAAATCGATAGTTGTGAAAAAAGTTTACCGCAAAGTAAATTTTTGATGACAACAACGGAAAAATATCAACCGTTAGTCGTTAAATGGCCAAACTTTCGGGGGGTGGGTGGTGGTTTGGGTTAGACCCCATCTTAACAACAGGCTCTCTGAGTGACTGGCTTATAAGTTTTCCTAACTGTATATCATCATCCTTGAATCAAATGTTAAGGTCATGAGATAGAGGAAGTGGTCACCATTTATAAACTACCTTTTGATTGTGAAATAAAGTCTTCCCGTCATACCACAGTAAATGTGGATAGAACAGTGTGGAGAACATGGATGCTAAAGTTAAGATAATTTACGGCTAAATTTCGTGCTCCTTTTAGTTATGGAGTGGCAATATTTTGTTATATTCATTTATTTTCTTGAACTTCTTTAACAGATCTTTTTCGTTCAATCTCGAGCCCGTTAATATCATTACTATTAAAAGACGGTTTTCAATATCATAGGCGATTAGGGGAGCAGTCAATTGAGCTTTGCTCATTGAATGATTGGCAGTTATATATTGTCATAATATTTTCATTAATAACAATTGAATAAAACGTTTACATAAAAGAACGTGCAGGTTTTTTGTTTGTTTGTTTTCGTTTGAGGAGGGATCGCGTAGTTTTCAGGGGTAACGGAGGGAGATCAGTCGTTGTTAGCATAATATAAAAGGAAGGGATCAATATCAGTATCTGGGCAACTGCCCACTTACCCCTCCCCTGACCCAACATTAACCCTAACTTGTTATCAATAGACTGTTGTTGGGTCAGGGGTAGGTGGGCAGTTGGATGGATGGACTTTAGAAATTGATTGCTTACCAATCCTCCAGCCCTCCC